AGTGCTAAATCATTGTTCATTGTTTATTGTAAGGTACTCTCCGTACGATACTGGAACAACTATATATACACGCTAAGAACGCAAGTGCTGCAGCGATCTTCCGTCGGACGCGACCTGGGTGTGCTGGTTCAGAATAAGTTGGGTTGTTCCCGGCAATCCGAAATGGTATCGAAAGCTGGAAACCAACATGTTGGTCTGTTGAGACGGTCATCCGGACAAATAGACATCCCTATTTTCCGCGTGAAACTCAGTGCGTATGTTCGCCCCCATGTCGAATACGCCGTTCAAGCCCGGCTTCCATGGCCGAAGCACGATCTCACTGCACTGGACAAGCCTGAACTTCGAGCTTCCAAGTACGTCATTGGAATGCGAAACCTCCCAGAAGAGCAGAGCCCGAAACAATCGGGGTATTCAGCGGATGATATCGCCGATTACGAGGCGATCTGATAATGGCCTGCTTGATTCTTCACGGCCCACATCATGTGTGCCACTCTTCACTGCAACTCAGCAGCAGAATAAACCTGCTAAATCACTCCTTGAAACTAGCAGAACAGTATACTCGCCTGGAGGGCCGCAGAAATTCCTTTAAATTCGCATATCATAAGTGGAATCCTCTCCCAATAGATTGTTTCTGCAATGACACTAACAATTTTTAAAAGACGCTTAGATGATGCACCCATCCACTTACACTTTATTACTCAGCAGTATGTCTCCGTCCCACTCGTTGGATGTACCTTAGATTTATTTAACATTGACTGTGGATGCTGTGAAACAGCCAGAGTTGTAGGACCACAGTGGAACAAACCATAAACCCTAATTTCATACTTAAAGTATTAAATGATTTTTTCAACTTTTTCGATAACCCAGCAAACCCACCAACGGCATTTGTACAGCACGACATTATAAACCATTTACTAATGAGTAGTGGGATCTTGGTATAATTTGTCAGGGAGATCGTCGTAGTTTCCTCTCAGTTAGGCAGATAATCACAAGTCTGCAAAAGCAACGGACAGCTGTTTCGACCTGCCGGGTTCCGACCCCATGACCTCCGGATGACAGCAGCTTGTGCCACTAAGCCATGCGTAACGGCGGCGGGCTTGCATGACTGATAGTTAACTACGATATGGCGCGGATCAACCGCCATTTCCATGCCGGTTACGAACTGTGCAGAGGATAGTGGTTATCCCCCCTCTAAATCGTGGTCAATTGTCAGTCATGCTGCTCCGCCGCCATCACCTATGCCTTAGCGGCACAAGCTGCTGGCACCTGAAAGTCATGCAGTGGGAACCTGACAGGGGTTCGAGAACGCGCACCACTGACGAGATCCCGAAGTTCGAAACAGCTGGCTGGTGCTTATCCAGACGTAGAACATGTCTGAATGAGTACCGACTGCAAAGAACTACCTCAAAAGTTAACTCATTTATATTAATTGGTCTTGGTTACCTGGGCTAGCCTAATAATGGATATGCCTGGATACGTAACCTCGATATCACTTAAGTCGTAGCACAACCTTGTCTTCGTTACAGCGACGAGGTCACAGGCCTTTGATCTCTAACTGAATCGTAACACACAAAGTGCTAAGTAAGCCAACATCGTTAGTGTACATACATGATAGCTTCTTAAACGTCCGAAGCGCTCCACAAGGAGTGTATGGATGGGGTTAATTTATGTCGATCGATGAAAGGCTGGTACTTGGTCATTTTTCGGTTGCTTTATCAGTGAAGGGAAAAATGCCGTCTCGATATGGTTATACTCCGTTCTCAATGGCTACAGACCTAAGAGCATGCTTTCCTGACTCGTTGTTTTGGTTAGATTGAGTCTTGGGTGTGCCGCTTCCTCAATGACATCGCGTGACAGCGTTTCTCTACTGGCTATGTGTAAGCGCATTCCTGAGGGTAGTGTGTTACACACTTTATGCAGCTATGCATTAAGCTCCTCGCCTTCTATTGGGACTAAAATAAAAGTTTTAGTTTTCGCGGAACACGGCTCTTATATTGAGGCGACGCTGGGAGCCTTGAGTTTAACTAAACCATGACGTCACTAGAAAAGAGCGCTTCACGGATTTACCGCCATACTTTCGGGTTATGAGCGTCGGTCTCCTCGTTGTTAGTTGTCGAGAACACCTGCGCGCCGTGCACCAAAATGATTCTTCTGTTACTCTACGTATGATAGTTGGTTGTATTTATTTTTGTCTTGATGTCCTTCGCTCCATGGCACATACGGAAATATGCGTATCCAACTGTCTTCTCTCCGCAGGCGGTACACCGACGAAAGCACCGTCTCGACCTCATCTGTGGATCCAATATTACTCGTATTAGTCGGGATCTCCAACACCGCATCGAGGTTAGATGTCTAGCGATGCGCATTAAATTAGTTGATACGAGAAATCCACGGCTTTAAATCATCCTGCTGTTTATCCCTCAAGAATTTCGCCTTGGATTCAGTAGCGCTGGTGCATATGCGTTTTATGGAACTGTAGTTCCGCCTGGTTTACGGTGATATGGAGAACTCGGTGGTGGCTGGCTTTGGCGAAGCCTCCGCAGTTCGCTTCTGATCCTTGCCATCTATGGTGGCTACAACGTCTGAAGCTACCAGATGCACACTTTGAATACGTGGAGCAGTAAACGATGCATAAGTGGATCAATATTTTGGTAAGGTACGGTTCTTGCAGGTCAAGCAGAAGTGTAGCCGTTACCGAGGTTGCGTTATTCATTACACTGGACAAAAAGATAGTGAAAGTGGAGCCCGGCTACTCCGACTGCTCGAGTTGGCTGCTCGGTTCGGAATTTTCACGGTCTTCATTAAGTAAAGCCTTGGAAACGCTCATCTCTTTTCCTTGGTTTCAAGCTAGTGATTGGGGGAAATGGATGAATTGATGGCTCTGCTAATGTCGCATCTAGCGGAGCAATTTTAACATTCAGACGAAGTCCAGTTTCAGCAAGAAGACTTCCGTACCCTTGTAATAATTCTATTACACATTTTAGTAGGTCAACGAACGTGTTTTTGGGACCGAACCAAAGTATTTCCGGCGAACTGTTCTACTGCTTTTCTTGGTTTAAAGTCACTCCGACGCAGTCTAACTAGTATTTAGAGGAGCAGTGCGAACCTGCCAGTCCTATTTTTACTGCTTTTTACGAGTCTCCGGTGCACAGACGTTCAGATTGGAAAACATCCAATGGAATTTCACGTTCAGCGACAACCCAGCAAGTGGCTTAAGTGAACAATGTTTCACGCTGCATGGGCCTGGATCAGGGACAGAGAAGTCATTAGAAGATATCGAAATGCAAGATGTGCGATGCAGAGATGATACACGCCTAGAGCGTCGTACTACGCACTTCATAGTAACAGTATCGGATGCTCCTCTGTGTAATTGACGCTAATTCTAAGGTAGAAAAGTGCCACCCATCCTCGGACACGCGACAAGTACTGCGTAAAAACACCGTATGCACGTAAATGTCTAACACCTGGAGAAGGCGCAAAGGGAGATAACACCCGACTAAGATGAGTTCAGTTCACCCAATTAATTGAGACTACAGCTGCCTTCTGCGTATCGCCTCAGAAATCCAACCCATAGAGTGCGGCCTTATTCTTCGTGTTTTTTGCAAAGTTGCGTAAACAAGTGAAGAGAAGTGGGAATCCATAGACGATAGGTGGGATCACTTCTAATTCAAACATTTCAGTCTAGGTGCTAATTTACCTACCTCAATTAATGTTCCATGGCATACGGTGCGGTTGCATCAACAACTCTGCATACAGGCAATGTTGGAGCGCCAGATTCACGTAGTAGCGTTTAAATTTATGGTGGAAGCGAAGGACAAAGCTTGGAAAAGTTGGTGGTTAGACATTTTTGGGCCTCTCTTGGAATAGCCCGTCGAAGATTTTTTCCATTTTAGTAAATGTTGCCTGATTGGCACATGGTATGTGTGTGATTAGCAGTTTATTCCACAGATAGGTCTATCTGACCAGCAGAAAGCTCAAGCTAATTCTTTTTCCAGCCTTTGGTATAAGCAGTGTGTAATCTTCGGTGCGAAGCTATCGAATTTAGCGATGTAGTAATTTGAGTGTGGGCAGATGGCAATAAGTCTATTTATGCAGCAGATTGTAAAACAACAACTTATGGTTTAATCGTCGCGTATACAGTGGTTCGAATTGAAGTTTGCTGTTGTCGTCACTATAAAATTGTGGACAAAATTTTACTGCTTGTCTCGCTTGAAAAGCGGGAAGTTCAATCAGCAACGCTACGAGTTACACAGAATTTACGAGCCGTCAGCTGCGGCGGCGTGTTGGTTTTTCTTTGATAGGCGACGACATGTTAAGCTTACAGATGTGGATTCCGAGTGTCTGTAGTACTGCCCTGCACGTTGTTTTCCAAAGTATGCTAAGCGAAGTACCGCAAGAACCAGTTGTGTTATTCAATCTGAAAGCTAACTACTGCATCCGTTGTGACCTCTGTGCAATAGAAGCGTGATGGATTCCAAGCAGAAGGCGGCTATTCCGATACAATGAACCCCAATGCCCTTGCGACAGCCTCTTCCGAAAGACTAGCTTGAAGGGTTAGAAAAGAAACATTAACCATGCGTGTTGCTCACTCCAGAGGCAAGAGTGTGGGCAAACACAATCCACTAGACACGACTGCTCGATGAAGTAATCATTAACTTGTGTGGGCTGAATTGCTGTGTTGGCGCTTGCTAATTATCCCTGGTAGACGATGTGTGTCAGTGATGCCACGTATACCATATACCAAGAATGGAGCTGATTTGCATATACAAACTTCTTGAGACAACGTAAGGTGTGGTCTACTGTAGACCTGAAGAGGTACAGTGGAACAATATCCACCTGATCAATTTTGAGCACAATTCCTCAATCAGCCATCAGGCTGCTAGTACGGATTACGGCAGACCAATGTGGCGTGCTCGGCATGCTCGTCGGAGCAAGAGACACATGTTGCTTGAGGTGTATTTGACGTAAGCCTGAACGAAAAGACGGGTAGATGCACTTACCTTCTCATACTGCTTTGCCATCAAATAATACTTTGCAGCCAGATACCAATTCTTTTCATTTTCAAAGTAACATGCAATACTCTGGTACTCGCTTGCGTCCGCCTCGGATCCTGGAAATGCGGAATTATGAATATCATGGGATGTATGTAGCTAAGGAAGTGTTCATCCATTTGGTGCAAACTGACCAAACAGACTTACCTATTGCTTCAGCGTACAGCTCCATTTTGTGATATTTTCTTGCTAACTGGAAAGCCGCTTCTAAGCACTTGGACATGACAAGGAATTTGATGGCGGAAGTGTGATCATTGACCCGAATGAAATACTGTGCGACCATCTTGGCCCCCTCGACGCTTTTGGTTTCGCGTACAACGCGTACGGCCTCGTCCGGATTGCCGATTTTGTCGATATACAATCTGTGACACCGTGGTACGAGCGAACATCGTTAGATGCATGTTTAACGTATTGTGGCGGACTAGAATTTCCATGATTTTATGGCACCAACGTTCAGTAGGAATATTGGAACCAGGCAAAGCGGCTCTGTAAAAAGGTCGCTACCGTTGAAAAGACAGAACAACAATATATATAAGACTAAAGATTTAATGTCTAAAAGCACAGTGTAGGATCGTCGAGATAGCAATAACAAGGTTCCAGTCAAGGCAACGATGCGTTTTCATGCACCCTTGCCGGGTGAATCTTCGGTCGTGACACAAATAGCATCAATCTGCTAAAATAGTAATTCATACACGAGGGAACAACAGCAAAAAGGCTCAGTGAAAAACCTAACCTCGCTGGCCGAATTTACTGGATAATAGCATTTTGCTCGAAAAGCAAGCTCGCTAAATAGGGAATGACCGATGAACCAAAAACCCTCCTGCGGGCATACCGTGTGCTGTGCTAGTATTTGGTCAACGAGGTAGATTTAAAATTGCAGAGTGCAGTGTGAGAAGAGTGGCTAATGTCAGGGAGTAGATTAGAAGCAAGTTTGGTGCATAAATGTGTGTGAATAGATGCAACTTTTTGAGCCGTACTTGTTTTTGGAATACCACTGCAGCGGGACAAATGCTTCACATGATCTAGCAAACAGCTTAAAGTACTTTCATAATAGGCCTGGAAAGGTCACAGGAGAGCAAAAAATCCAGTGTGGTAGAATGCACGTAGTGATGAAATTCAAAAGCAAATTGTATGGTACGGAGGATGAGTGCAACAGAGCGAGGTAAAAGGAAAGTCGCCTGCGTTTGGTGATTATTTAATGCACGTGGATTGACCACGACAAAACGTGCCTCACCGTAACTCCGAGCTATTTCACTGAAGTACAGATGTTGAACGAGAAATTCGCCTATCCATCCTAGAATAGGATTGCCGATACCACAATGCTGCAGCTTGTTCAGTAAAATCCGATGGTCCAGGCATTCGACCGACTGGACCATCGGATTTTACTGAACAAGCTGCAGCATTGTGGTATCGACAATCCTATTCTAGGATGGATAGGCGAATTTCTCGTTCAACGTCACCTGAATGTGAGAGTCCGAAATACCCTGTCGGAACCAATCGAAGTTCAGTGTGGCGTACCTCAGGGCTCGGTACTCGGGCCTCGCTTGTTCATTGTTTTCATAAACGATCTTGCAGCTGCACTATCTTCCAACTTTCTGCTGTTTGCAGATGACCTAAAGATATGACGTGCCATAGCTTCAGGAGAGGATCACACAGCCTTGCAGGATGATTTGGACAAAGCATACAAGTGGTCAAACGAGAACTTGCTACAGTTCAACACCACAAAGTGCAAAATCTTGAGCATACGCCATCAGAGTGCGTATAACTACCGCTTAGGACCTGACATTCTACAGCGGACCTCTCATGAGTGCGATCTTGGCGTGCTTGTACAAGAAGATCTTGGGTGCTTAATGCAGACCGAAAAGGCCTCCAAGAGAGCAAACCAACACTTTGGCCTTCTGCGTAGAGCGTTTGGGAAGTTTGACGCCTCAGTCTTTCTGAAAATGCTTAGCGCTTTTGTTAGACCGCACACAGAATACGCTATTCAAGCGTGGCAACCATGGCAGAAGTGCCACCTTACTGCACTCGATACTGCACAACGCAGAGCGACAAAGTACGTCAAAGGTCTTTCCAGCCTTCCCTACCCACTCAGGCTAAAAAATCTTAACTTATACAGTGGACGTTACCGTCGTTTGAGAGGCGATCTCATATTGGTGTACCGGATACTGAGAACCCCCAACCACACGTGTCATTCCCTCTTGAAACGTAGTCAAAACGCATCCCTAAGAGGTCATCAGTTTAAGTTGATCACACAGTACAGTCGACTGGAATGTCGACGCAATTTCTTCTCCCTCCGAGTGTCACAACCTTGGAACGCTCTTCCAGAACATGTAATTAACGCTCCCACCCTATCCCTTTTCAAAAAACGCCTTGACGAAACTCTGACACGATTGCACTATGTGATATAACGTGCGACCATCGGATGATGGTATTAGTGAACAACGAATGTGGACGGAATCCACTTAAAATTCCTATTGGATTACTTGTTTATGTGCATCTCCAATCCCTTGGTGAGTCATGCATTTCACACGTACTTTCATCGATACGATTTTTTAATTTTACGATGTTAATTCTCATCATCCTACGGGACCTGTCAAGCATTGCTTTTATACCCGTCATAAACCATTGTTGTTCCATTGTTCCATGTAACATTCCATCTGAGATTTGGGACTTTCCGTGACAAGTGATTGGTAACGGGCTTCTGTATGCAGTAAAAACAGAATGTCAGCGTCAAGCAGCAGGAGTCTGACTAATGCACTAATTCATCTATACAGCTTGGCTGAGGAGGCCGAGGTTTGATGCTTCACGCCAATGATGACGTTATTTTCATCCATCAACAGAGTGATTCCTTCTGGGACAGATAACAAGTTAACGTAAGTTGTGAATCAGAACTGTGACAAGCTAGCTCCATGAAGGTCGCCGGATGTTGCGCTAAGTGGTAAGGAGCTTTTGCCGCCAAACCGTGCCACCTGAGTAAGTTTGGTGAAATAATCATTTGGCAAGAAGACTAAGGAAGGTCAAATACCAGACCTGTGTTGATTATGCAACAGCAATTTAGGGTTAACACAGCCGAAAGCGGTTCTGCAGTAGAGGGAACAGACACTTGTGTTATGCTCATACTGCCTAGCGACGACAACACTGCACGCACTAGAAAAGCCACTGCGTTTTATGTGAATCTTAAACTTCTACATGTAAACTGAAACGGGTCATCCAAACGGGAATGGGTCAGCATTTTTTCAAGTGCGTTTCTTGAAATTCTTCAAAAACATCGAGGCACATCCCATAGGCACATCCCATAGGTACCGGCTTTATGATAGTAATCCTCTAACCATCCACGATTTCCCCTCGGTTTAGGCATATTGTGTGTAACTCAGCCAGAGACTGGGTTAAGGTGTCGGCACGCTGCTTAAGAACGACAGGATACAACCTATCAGTTCCAAATGCATTGTCTGAGTGCAGCTCAGGTTAGCTTCTTGTGCGGTAAAACAACTTTGACAGAATTCAATGAGTTGGTAAACTTCTGAAACGGTGTATCTGGTGCATCAGAGGATGAGACACTGCTAGTACAGCGGAAATTTCATTTAACGGGGCTGTGAATGATAGTAAGCGCGCCCTGGTGAAATCAATGCGATGTTCGCATGATAAGTGCACCTGGGAACGTTCCGCTTACTTACCATAAATGGCCATCTGGTAAATATGAGTTCTAGAATGAAAAGATAAATAGCACAATGAGCCAGCGAGACGTTGCTTGAAACCGTCAAGCTGGGGCATGAAGCAAATCAGGTGTAGAGCACGGTTGACAAACACGATGCGAAGAGGAATGAGAGGTATTCCAACCGGCTAAAATACGTGACCAAATTAAGAGGCTAAACTATCGAGTTGAAGAAGCAGAAGAAATTTGGGTGTTGCCCGCGCGAAAACACAACACAAACACGAAGTGTTTCGATATCAACTTATCGCATCAGGTGGAGATAACAGGCCTCGAACTCAACACTATTAGAAGGGTAGCGGAAACTGCTACCTAAAAGGTTACAAGGTCACCAGGTGATAAAAAGACGTGGGTCTACTTCAATGTGGATCGCGGACTACATTGAGATTGCAAGTCGCAAACCAATCGCATAACGCGTATTCCGAAATGTCCCTCCATTGAGTACTTAACCTTTGTGCCAAGCGTTGCCCGTCTTGACGCGGTAGCCAAAGAGGTAGTAGCATCGGCTACTAATCCAATAGTTGCGTTTTCGCGGACTGATATCTCTACCTGATGAGACAACATAATATCGAAACACGTTGTATTTGTGCAGTCTTCGGGAGGGAAACAAGCAAGTTCCATCTGCATTAACAACTTCCGTCCTAGTGATTGAATGATTAAGCGTTACTTGGATGTGAATCGCGGTCTAAATTGAGCCTGGACGTCGCAATCCAATCGCATAACCTGTATTCCAAAATGGCCCTCCATTCAGTCACAATCCTTGATGCCAAGCGTCGTCTGTCGTGGCCCCGTAGCCAAAGATGCAGCGGTTTCAATTACTATTCTAGTAGTTGCGTGTTTGGGGACTCCTATCTCCACTTGATGAAAAGACATGATATGGAAACCTGTCTTGCTTATGCCGTTCTGCATTGAGATTGCGTGCCGCAATCCAATCACACAACGTGTATTCAAAAATGGCCCTCCATGGATATTATGGCTGAGCTCCGGGATTGCGCAGCAATTGGTGTTGAGTGCTCCTGGATTCTGTGAGCTCTTGTGAGTTCCTCCGTATGCGCAAACACCGACTACCCTACTTTCTTCCTAACGTTGGTCTAAACTTATAAATTAAGCGGAAGTTGCATTCGGTGTGGAGTTATTAGCTATTTGGTATCTTTTCTGTGTCACGGATGACACTTCCAGATGGTCTATTTGATATATTGTGACATGTCACTGAATAGGTAGCAGGCTCAAACCGAACAAGGACTTTGCATAGCAAACTGACATGTTGTGTGTCAGTATTCGATGTCTTCTAGGATTGCTTCAAGCAGCTAATATCGTCTTGAACCAGTAACCCGAGGCTGCCTTCTGGGGGAAGCTTTCTACAAGGTGTGCTCTCAAGGCCTATAAACGCACGCCGGCTGATGAACTATATGAAGCACTTTACAACGATATGTGTTAAAATGAAGTAGTTTCGTCATCGACGATTAAACAACGTCATCCAAGTTAAGTCTGACGGGGCCTTCGAATTCGGCCGTTGCTGTTTTCATCGTAATATTATTTTACACCACCGACTGCTGAGTTTATACTTTTATTCGTATCTTTGAGACAATTGGTTTGTTCTGAAGAAGTCTATCATGTCCCGCTCCGCCAATCTTCTGAAAACTGCGCCTTACT